TTTCGTTAGTTATGCTCCAACTTTCCCTCCATTTTGTGCCAACATCTGTTATTTTTAAGTCCTGGTTCCAATAGTTTATTTTTATTTTCCTAAGAGATTGTCAGTTGGATATGCTATCTGCAAGGTTTTGTATATCTTCCCTATCATATTGTAGGAATATTCAAAGATAAATACACAACACAGAGAACTAGAGAGCAATGGAACTAGTTGTTTTTCTGTAATGGGGAACTGAAGATTAATGGATTAGGGACACGGGTTGTTTTTCAGTTCAAAACCTGTTTAGAATCTGTGTAGGGGTTCCAGTCCAGGACACATAGCTACATGTGGCAAGTTCTCATTGGTCCAAACTATCTATACATTGAAGCCTGAAACGGGATACTTTGTATTTGGCCATTGGCCCAGTTTTACTGCAATGAATTCTAATTGGTCAACCACAGGCCACAGGTATAAACTACATCCTGTCTCTTTGTTCAGCAGAGAAACAAGGAGAACAGGAAAGAACAAACATCCATATTCAAGCATAACAACTATGATTTGTTCTCTTTGAATTAATATATTTTTTCTCCCCCTGATTTGCTTTGGGGCCTGTGTTGTTGAAGAATAACATCAACTGCTAACAATATGAACATCCTTTTCTGACTCAAGTAAGATTCCCTCAAGGTTGCTCTGATGTCAAAAAGATTTCAAATCGAAATTTCGTGATATGTAACTGAACTTGCATGTATTTGAAACTATCTACATTGGTCAGTCCATAATACATTTTTTATTCTGTCATGGAAATAAATGTATTTCCTGAACCAAAGTCATTTACGGTTTCTATGCCTTTAGTTTTCCATGTGGACCAATTTATCTGTCAATTCTGAAAAGCTATCCAAGGTTGTGTTTTTAGGGAGTAATATTGGTTCTTGTAGAATACGTTTCATTTTCTTCCATATTGTTAGTGTTCTTAGCTATGAAGTTGTTAATGTTCTTAGCTTTATCTTTTGAAAATAGACACATAAAAATATTCTGTTGATGAGCATGCACATCATTGTTCCTCTTTAGTGCATTTAACTATATGTTGCAAGTAAAAGCCAGGTCTGAAAGGTTAAAACCACCCTCAGACTTAGGAATACTTTTTATTCAATGATTTTTATTTGCCCATATAAAGTCTGAACGAGTATACTTTTTAAAGAACGTCTTTGGTGGGGTAATTGGTATTTCCGAAAAAGATATACAAAAGCTTTGGCTGCCATGCCATTCTAAAGAGGTTTATTCTACCTGTAAGATTTATGGGAAGATTATTCCATAAAGGCAGATATTTAATTACATTGTAAAATGAATGAAATCACATACAAGTCATAAAGCTTAAGTTAACAAGCATTACAAGGCATTATTCTAGGCATGATCAGAGAGGGAGACAGAGAGAGAAGTCATAGCCTAAAAAGCCACGCCCCAAGAGTCCCTGGGATGGAGAGAGAATGAATATCCCCACAGCTGGTCAGGAACAAAAAGGAGAAAGAGACAATGCTAAGACCCTACCATAACCATTTGACCATGTCTAGAGTTGTTGACCAATAGCATTACTGTTGAGTTAATTTCCAATCAGATATCAGACCTACAGGATATAAAAACAGCAGAATGGAGGTTGGCAAGATCAACACAAGAGAATGCTGAATTCCTGAGAAAATAAACTTTTTGCATAGAGTGTTGATTAGGCCACTCTACATCTGCTTGGGGAATTAGCCTAGTAGTTTATCAAGTCGGGTATTTTTTAAATAAAACTTTTCACATAACACACATTACCTGTCGTTGTTGATGAAGCTGTCATCAGGGAAGTAACTCGGGTCACTATCAGAGGCCTATGATGGATTGTCCTTTTCATAGGAGGAGGTGTCACAAGGGTACTTGCATCGCATGACACACTTTTTTTCAGACATCTTGCCTGACAAACTGTGAAAATAGTGAACAGTGAATAAAATGATTTCTGGAGGTTTCTAAACCATTGCAATCACATTGCTGGACATGTTATGATACCCAACTTTGCACCTTCTGGTAGGTTCCCTCATCTGTTCATGACCAGGGGATCAGTCTGGCACCCAACTGGACTCTGTTTTTCTGTTAGACAAAGTGACAACAATTGCCATCATCCCTCAATTATAAACATAGCTCAAGAAATAAGGTAATCTCGTTTGGAAGCTAATTCTTTGCTTTACAGATGTAGACTGACTGGCTCCAGATTGGATTAGACATGTTTTGCTATGGCCCTGAGTTGGTTTGAGTTTATTGCTGCTTGTTAATACACTGTTGTAGTCAGACATTTATTTTTATTTTACCTTTATTTAACTAGGCAAATCAGTTAAGAACACATTCTTATTTACAATGACGGCCTACACCGGCCAAACCCGGACGACGCTGGGCCAATTGTGCGCCGCCCTATGGGACTCCCAATCACGTCCGGTTGTGATACAGCCTGGAATCGAACCAGGGGGTCTGTAGTGACGCCTCAAGCACTGAGATGCAGTGCTTTAGACCGCTGCGACACTCGGGAGCCCAGACATAATTAAGCTAGTACCACCATACCTGCATCCAATATTTATTTGCGCACTAGACGTGGGTTGCAACTTGGAGGCTAATGTGACTAACTTAGAGTGGCATTGAAATACGATGACATTGCTAAAGTAGGCAAATAACTAGTAGGAAACAACTTTGCCATATTATGATGTAGTCACATTTACTTTAGAGATGGCAATGTTGCCATTACTGTTGCTAGCAAAGTTCGTCAAAAATAGCTACCAATGCTGTTAGCTAGCTAAAATACTGTGGCCTTCTTTTGAAATGTTATTGCGTTTCCAAGCCAAATCCGAGTTGTATTGAGGTAGGCTAACATTATCCAGCTATCTAGCTAGGTTGGTAGCTATCTAGTTAGGGGAGATAGCTAACTCCAGCTATGCTAGCGATTACAGTGATAATGATCAAAATATACATAACCAGATACATAACCAGCAGTCTATGGTCTAGCTACTGGTATACTCACCACCACTGGGGACCAACGTAGAACTCCAACCACCTATTCCGGCATGATAGGGTCCTTCGGTAGGGCATGCAAACCAATTGGCTGTGCATCCTGCTGGAAGCATGCATTGCATGGTCAATCCGTATAGGGCTTTTCAGTCTAAAACGTCCATGATCCTTTGAACACGTTGGGGGCGATGAAACAATGGAGCCCCATTCAATGAATGGAAGCGAAGTGGGCACAGGGGCGATTTGCACGTGGAGCTTGGCAAAAAGGGGCATGATTTGTTGACATACTTGTAATCCAAACCCAACCTTCATTTACTTGTTGTGACGTACTGTGGGAAATTATTCTCTTATATTTTAGATGTGCTGTTAGCTTAATAAGAAAGCATTAATGATTAAACATAATAGGTTTGTGCTGTACTGATATAGACTGTTTAACATAACAAGCTGTGATTCATGTGAGGAGCTGTTAGGGAGTAGGGGGAGATAAGGCTTGTGTCTCACATACACAAACACTACCTCTTTGTTAGACCGCTCAAGGACATGTGTTCTGCTACAAAGATGTCTAAGAGTGCTGACTCTCTGGACAAGTTGCAAAACAACTAATGCATGGCAACAGTGAAGCGCCAAGGGGCTGGGACCAGCCTGTGCGCCAACGATAGGCTGAGTAAGTCTAAACCACGCTCAGTCTCTACTCTGATAGGCCAGCAGGGAGCAGGAACTATCTCTGTCAGAGTATTTAAAGAAGAACTTAGAACGATGGCTCAGTTCTCTGACTACCCTGCGTGGTATTTCAGTGGACCCGTATATACGAACATCATATTTACCATTGAAGTGTTTTGCATTAATTAAAATACTAGTCTATTTTAGAAGACGTGTATTGACCTCTTTTGTTCCCAATACCAGATTTGAATTGACGCAAATTAACAGTACTGAGGTTCCAAACTCCGTTTTAGACGAGACTGACTTTATGACCAAAATGATCCTATTTACACTTCGTAGTCAAGTTTGACACTAGAATAAATGTTTCTGACTGATATTGATGCTGTTTTCAAAGGGATTAGTTGTTTTTAGGGGCAGTCGCTCTTTAAAACAATCAATTATATGGTTGAAACCATCTGATGTTAATTTTTGCAACGATGTGGCACACAGTTTAGCCTACATTATCAACACTGGCCAAGGCTTAAAGCCTGCATAAACACAAACACACTTCCTTGACAACAGCTCTGCTCTGCAAAGCGTAAGAAGTATGAACGCTCTGACTTCTGCAGAGGCCGCATCGCAGTAAATGCTGTACGGCCACTGCAGACGTCGGATTGACCATGCAAAGCCTTTTATGTTGATGATGGCCAAATACAGATTAACAAATACTTATAACAATCATTGATATGCTCGAAAATAATTGATATAATTTAATTTGTCAAAATCATACTTGCATTACGCAACATTATGGGCGGCATTGTATATATGACGTGTGTGATTTGACAAAGAACATATCGCCCCATCTACATCATAACCTGCATGTGAATAACAGATCATGAACTGCGTTCAACACAGCCTTCACACTGCTGTAAATAAAACAGTGATGTGGCTTTAAAAGCCACTGCACTTCACATCATCAGTTAACCTCTGAAGCTTTAGATCAGTGAGCCTCTCAAGCCTAACAGGTAGGAAATACAGTCACTCAGGTCTGCAAGCTGTGGCAGCAGTAGTGGTATGTTTCAGAGAATCAAACCATCTGTTAACACTTCATTTGAACTGTACGTCATAACAGCGTCATAATGACATAACAAAAGTCATAAGAAGTCAAGATATAATTTGTCATGTCATGTTTATGCCAATATTATGACACTGACTTCCAGTACAGTTAAAATAAAGTGTTACCCCATCTTTTTAGCTTTCATGTCAGCTTAATACAAATATTTATGAATTAAAATGGCATCATCCATGTCCTATTGAAAAACACAGACTTAATGTGAACATGTTGTAGGCCTACTGGCCTAGTTAACACTACGGAGAACCCACCCGATAGTGAGGCCTAGTGCAGCCAGGCTGAAGAAGGTGCCGTAGTATTTGAGGAACTCCCTGGACCAGGCTATCTGCATGGCCATCTGTCTCTCTCTCATCTGATTCTGCATCAGGATCTGTCTCTCCATCTGGGGTCGGGCAGGAAGGTCAGAAACACACCCTGTCAGAGCTAAGAGAACACATCTTAGCGGGCAAAACTGGTTGCAATGACGTCATTATGACGTTACACTCAGTAAAAATACGTTTTGTTAAGAAGCAGAACTGAGCAGGCAAAACTGGCTGCAATGACGTCATTATGACGTAAAAGTAAGTTTTACAGCAACAGAGAGCCAAATTACAACCAAAAAATGTGTGGTTGCTAAGAATACATATTTTTGGTTGTAATTTGTCTTTCTGCTGCTGCAAAACTTTGATCTCAAGGTACAGACCCTGTAAATGAATAGACTATTGCTAATGTATACATCTCTTCAACACAGATCTCAGAGTGATGTTCAAACTGTTGTATCAAGAGAGGAGAATGTGCATGAATGAAAGGAAGAAAGAAAGGTATGGAGAAACATTTATGCACACTGTGGCTCTACTGGTGTGACTTTACCTACGGGGCATTGTGCCTCCCTGACAATAGACGCAATAACAAGGGAATAGCTGGGAGTCAGAGAAGGGGTGGAGTCACTCACCACCAACAGTCACATTTTTGTAAGTAATTATCATCACCATCATAATTTTATTATGAGACGGGACACTACAGTGCATTCGGAAAGTATTCAGACCCCTTGACTTTTTCCACATTCTAAAATGGATACAATTGTTTTTTTCCCTCATCAATCTACACACAATACCCTATAATGACAAAGCAAAAACAGGTTTTATTTTTTTTAGTGCACATTTATTAAAAACAAAAAACTGAAATATCACATTTACATAAGTATTCTGACCCTTTACTCAGTACTTTGTTGAAGCACCTTTGGCAGCGATTACAGCCTCGAGTCTTCTTGGGTATGACGCTACAAGATTGCCACACCTGTATTTGGGGAGTTTCTCCCATTCTTCTCTGCAGATCCTCTCAAGCTCCGTTAGGTTGGATGGGGAGAGTCGCTGCACAGCTATTTTCAGGTCTCTCCAGAGATGTTCGATCGGGTTCAAGTCCGGGCTCTGGCTGGGCCACTCAAGGACATTGCCCTGAAGCCACTCCTGCGTTGTCTTGGCTGTGTGCTTAGGGTCGTTGTCCTGTTGGAAGGTGAACCTTCGTTCTGGAGCAGGTTTTCATCAAGGATCTCTCTGTACTTTGCACCGTTCATCTTTCCCTCAAATCCTGACTAGTCCCTGCCGCAGAAAAACATCCCCACAGCATGATGCTGCCACCACTATTAACCGTAGGGATGGTGCCAGGTTTCCTCCAGATGTGACGCTTAGCATTCAGGCCAAAGAGTTCAATCTTGGTTTCATCAGACCAGAGAATCTTGTTTCTCATGATCAGAGTCCTTTAGGTGCCTTTTGGCAAACTCCAAGCGGGCTGTCATGTGCCTTTTACTGAGGAGTGGCTTCCGTCTGGCCACTCTACCATAAAGACCTGATTGGTGGAGTGCTGCAGAGATGGTTGTCCTTCTGGAAGGTTCTCCCATCTCCACAGAGGAACTCTGGAGCTCTGTTAGAATGACCATCGGGTTCTTGGTCACCTCCCTGACCAAGGCTATTCTCCCCGATTGCTCAGTTTGGCCGGGCGGCCAGCTCTAGGAAGAGTCTTGGTGGTTCCAAACTTCTACAATTTAAGAATGATGGAGGCCACTGTGTTCTTGGGGACCTTCAATGCTACAGAAATGTATTGGTACCCTTCCCAGACCTGTGCCAAAATGTGGGAAAAGGGAAGGGGTTTGAATACTTTCCGAATGCACTGTAAGTGCATCCGTCATTCAGGATATGATAAAGGCTATGAGACACATTCAGGGTGGATGAGAAAGCTTGCTATTTTGTCTAGTCACCTGTGTGAATATTAAAACAGACTTCTTAAAAAATGGCTATTAATATCACAGTCGGCCTTTAAACACATTTTCCTCACATCCTTTGAGGATAGTCAGACTCTGTTGATTCAGTTCTGAGACATACGCACTGATGACGGGATCACTCGACCCCTAGCTCCGTCACACTTTTATTCCAAGGTGAACTCTCTGGTGGGTCAATTAGGCTTTTTGTCTACGCTGTTTCCTGTTTTCTGCAAAGACAGTCACAATCCTCTATGCCGCCATTATCATTAGGAGAAGAGAATACAGAATTAATGGTGTTTTGTATGAAAGCTCTTTATTTCCTAAAGGTCATGTGTCAAAAGATTAAACTTGCTTTATGAAATATGTAGATACTGTAGATTGTGAGGCTGGTGGTTGATTAGGTTGGAAAATACAAAAAGATGCAAATGACATTCAACTATGCATACAGTGCCTTGAGAAAGTATTCATACCCCTTGACTTACTCCACATTTGGATTAAATAAATATGTTTTTTCTCACCCATCTGCACACAATACCCCATAATAACAAAGTGAATACATCTTTTTAGAAATGTTAGCAAATGTATTGAAAATTCAATACAGAAATATCTTATTTACATACGTTTTCACACCCCTGAGTCAATACATGTTAGAATAACCTTTGGCAGCAATTACAGCTGTGTGTCCTTTGAGTAAGTCTCTAAGAGCTTTGCACATCTGCATTGTACAATATTTGCACATTATTATTAAAATTCTTCAAGCTTTGTCAAGTTGGTTGTTGATCATTGCTAGACAGCCATTTTCAAGCAGATTTAAGTCAAAACTGTAACTAGGTCACTCAGGAACATTTGATGTTATCCTGGTAAGCAACTCCATTGTATGTTTGGCCTTGTGTTTTAGGTTATTGTCCTGCTGAAAGGTGAAAGAACAGAGCATGAATACGAAGGATATCCAGTTCATCGTTAGTGACAGAAACAGACTCTAATGAGAGCATTCTCCCACACCGACAAAGCAGACTGAACCAGGTTTTACTCTAGGATTTTGCCTGTGCTTAGCTCTATTCCGTTTATTTTATTATAAAAAACTCCCTAGTCCATGTCGATGACAAGCATACCCATAACATGATGCAGCCACCACCATGCTTGAAAATATGAAGAGTAGTACACAACGCTTTATATTCAGGACATAAAAATTAATTTCTTTGCCATATTTTTTGCAGTTTTACTTTAGTGTCTTATTGCAAACAGGATGCTTGTTTTGGAATATTTGTATTCTGTACAGGCTTCCTTCTTTTCACTCGGTCATTTAGGTTAGTATTGTGGAGTAACTACAATGTTGTTGATCCATCCTCAGTTTTCTCCTTTCACAGCCATTAAAGTCTATAACTGTTTTAAAATCACCATTGGCCTCATGGTGAAATCCCTGAGCGGTTTCCTTCCACTCCGACAACTGAGTTAGGAAGGACGCATGTATCTTTGTAGTGACTGGGTGTATTGATACACCATCCAAAGTGTAATTAATAACTTCACCATGCTCAAAGGGATATTCAATGTCTGTTTTTTGTTTTTATCTGCCAATAGGTGCCCTTCCTTGCAAGGCATTGGAAAATCTCCCTGGTCTTTGTGGTTGAATCTGTGTTTGAAATTCACTGCTCGACTATAGATAATTGTATATGTGGGTTACAGAGATGATTCATAGTCATTCAAAAACCATCTTATACACTATTATTGCACACAGAGTGAGTCCATGCAACTTATGTGACTTGTGAAGTAAATGTTTACTCCTGAACTTATTTAGGCTTGCCATAATAAAGGGGTTGAATACAATACATTTCATCTTTTCATTTTCTATTAATTTGTACAAATGTCTAAAAACATAATTCCACTTTGACATTATGGAGTATTGTGTGTAGACCAGCGACACAAAATCTCAATTTAATCAATTTTAAATTCAGGCTGTAACACAACAAAATGTGGAGAAAGTCAAGGGGTGTGGATACTTTCTTCAGGCACTGTATACAGGGGTTCGAAATTATTGACACCCTTGATAAAGATGAGCAAAAAAGACTGTATTAAATAAATAATTAAAATACTGAGCTTTTTGTATGCAAAAAAAAAAATGGGGGGGGGGGGGGGGTTTGGGGATTATATTATTTTATACTAATACATTTGCTCAGAGAAAGAGATTTTGTTTAACAAGTGATACTTTTTTTTCTCAAAAAGATAGGGGTCAAAATACTGAGTTGGAGATCACATTGGGAGGGATCTTAGACCATTCCTCCATACATAATCCTTCCAGATCCTTCAATTTAAACCACAGGTTTTCAATTTGTTTCGGAGACAGACGGCCATTGCAAAAAAAGAATGTGTGGCCAATTAACCATTTTTTGGAGGATTTTGATGTGTGCTTGGGGTTATTGTCTTGCTGGAAGATCCACTTGGGGTCAAGTATCAGCCTTCTGGAAGAGGCAACCAGGTTTTTGACAAAAATGTCTTGTTACTGGGTAAAGTTCAAGATGCCGTTGACCTAAACAAGGCCCTTGGACCAGTGGAAGCAAAATAGCCCCATAACATCAAAGATCCACTACCATATTTTACAGTAGGTATGGTGTTACATTTCTGCTCATGCAATCTCACTTCGACGCCAAACCCATCTGACAAAGCACCGGTTCCAATTTAAGTGCCAATGCATCAAAACTCCACAAAGAAATGGTTAATTGGCCACAAAAATCAACATTTTGCCATGTCTCCGGACTTGAAATCCATTGAAAACCTGTAGTTTGAATTGAAGAGGGCAGTCAATAAGCGCAGACAAAGGATATCAAGGATCTGGAAGGATTATGTATGGAGGAATGATCTAAGATCCCTCCCAATGTGTTCTCCATGGGTCGTTCCATGTTGTTTCAGCAAGCCATGACACCAACCATCTCAGATAGTTCCTGTAGTTAGAAACAGATAAGATTAGCATTCCTGAAACATTATTTTGTTGAAATTGAATTTCATCTCTGATCAATTAAGCTAATTGATTGCACCGAAATTGGCCATTTTCATTAATAGGATTCATATGATCTTTAATAAATATAGTACCTAACATCTGATTTGGACCATAATTCTTCCTAACAATGAGTAAGACATGAGGAATCCAATAAAATGGTCAAAAGCCATCCACAGACCCCACGCCAATCTCAGTTCTCTATGTTTAGTAGTATAAAGATGCGGTTTTGAATATTGCTTCTTCATCCTTTGTAATGCATTCCCCCCCCTGTTTAGAGCAGTTAGCCATTGAAGTCCCTTGCATTATGTAACATAAATTAGGCATCTAGGTTTTACCCACTAGATGCCATTGTTCCTGGTACCGCCACCACACCATCTATTTTGCTGGTCTCTTGTGTTTATTAAATGGATGACATTTTCTTTGCAAGTTTGGGTATAGTAAAATAGCTTTTACACATAATGAAAATACATTGTGTGGTCAATTTTGTGGTCAAGCCAGTCCTCCATGAAAGCAATTCAGTTTGTCCTTCTCTTAGCAACCTAATGATTCCTTCAACCCAACTCTCCTTGAATAGTCCAACAAATGGTAGAGGGGGCTATCCGTATGTTGCAATTCTCATATGAAGACTTTTCCAAAACGTTGATGGAAAAATGGGCTAGTGACTAAAAGGTTGTGACAACCATAATAAAATAATTCAATTATAAACCATTGCATGGCAGTCATATTATGTTTTTCAATCAAATTATTTGAAAACATCTCTATATGTAGTGTGATTAGTGACATTTACCATTATACCCAACCCAATACCATAACAGTTTGGGACTTTTACCATTAAAGAACATAACATTGAAACCATTAGAACTACTGTAGCCTAATGGTTTGCTTGTTCGCCAGGAATGGTCTAACTAATCCATACCTATTTTATTTTAGTAATTTCTACCTCCTTTTTCTCCCCAATTTCGTGATTACGATCTTGTCTCATCGCTGCAACTCCCCAACGGGCTCGGGAGAGGCGAAAGTTGAGTCATGCGTTCTCCGAAACATGACCCACCAAGCCACGCTTCTTAACACCCGCTCGCTTAACCTGGAAGCCAGCCGCACCAATATGTCAGCGGAAACACTGTTCAACTGACAACCGAGGTCAGCCTGCAGGCGCCCGGCCCGCCACAAGGAGTCGCTAGAGCACGATGAGCCAAGTAAAACTGTCAATCATTTGAAAATATTACTTGTTTAACAAAATCTCTTTCTCTGAGCAATTGTATTAGTATAAAATAATATAATTTTTAAAAATGTGAGCATACAATAGAGCTCAGTATTAGTATTTTATACAGTTTTGCTCATTTTTATCAAGGGTGTCAATAATTTCGGACCCCACTGTAAAAATGACATAAATTATAGTATGTCATGTGACGATGATTTTCATGACAATTATATTTTTTGGTCATTTGTGGCAACACATTGAATATTGAAATCGGAAGTGGGCCTGAATTGACGGCGCACTAGACAACATGGTAAAGAACATATCATTAAAAAAAAATCACTGACTGATTGTCTGAACATTTAGGCGTGGTTAAAAAACAAGCTCAATGGCGATCTCCATTGAAAGTGCTTTTTAGTCTAGGACTAGGCTTAGGCCTAATCTAGTCCAGACAATTGTTAGATTCCGAGATTTCAAATGGAATTTCATAAAAACATGGAAAGCTTTACATTTCTGCAAACAACACATGGTGATGTTTCATCCAGTGTTTCTCTTGTGGTGATCTAAATGTCGATGGGTAGAGTGAGACTGATTGGCTCGATTTGAGACTCATTAGTCATTACTCAATTGATTTTAAAGTCACACAACCCATTGTGAAGAGGGCACATAACCAATCAATCATGAAAGGCATTGTGTCCTCAGGAAGCATCATGTCTGCCTGATTGCCCGAGTGTCATTAACTCCATTAACTGAGTGCTATTAACTCAGAGTTGCTGCTCCTTATTGGAAAGGCAGCAGCATGAATAGAGCATGGAGGTGATGGAGGTTTTGTGACGTGAGAAGAGGGGAGCTCATTGGTGGTTCCAGCCCGAATATATCACCTCCCCCGGTCCAGTCAGGAGGCCTCTCTTTAGGCCGGGTCACAGAGTAAAAAGTGAAGAGTAATCCAGTGACGGTGTCCCAAATGGCATCCTAATAATAAATAGTTGATTGGACTTATATAGCGCTTTTCTACCAACTGAGGTACTCCTAGCGCTTTACATAGTAAGGTGGAAACTCACCTCATCCACCACCAATGTGCCGCACGTGATGCACGGCGACCTTTTTTGTGCCAGAACGCTCACCACACATCAGCTATCTGGTGGAGAGGTGAGGAGTGATATATGTCAATTACAAATTAGGGGGATGATTAGGTGGCCATGATGGGGCCAGTTTGGGAATTTAGCCAGGACACCAGGGTCAACACCCCTACTCTTACGATAAGTGCCATGGGATCTTTAGTGACCACAGACAGTCAGGACACCCGTTTAACGTCCCACCCGAAAGACGGTACCCTACGCAGGGCAATGTCCCCTTCACTGCCCTAGGGCATTGGGATCTCCTTAGACCAGAGGGAAGAGTGCCCACTACTGGCCCTCCAACACCACTTCCAGCAGCATCTGGTCTCCCATCGAGGGACTGACCAGGACCAACCCTGCTTAGCTTCAGAGGCAAGCCAGCAGTGGTATGCAGGGTGGTATACGGCTATTCCCTATATAGTGCACTACTTTTTACCAGGGCCCATAGTAGAGCCGGACGTCACTTAGACACAGTTCCTTCCCAGAATCTGTTCTGAATAGTCAGATAGGGGTTAGGGGTCGGGAAGCAGTGGAAGTCAGGAGGCGTGGGGAAGTCTAGGGAGGAGGAGTATGGAGGTGATGAAGTGGATATTAATCTGTGGAGGAAGTTCACTGACATTTCCTAAAGGCCGTGTGGAGGGATGTTCTTGCCCGAGCAGTAAACCAAACGGAAAACTGACAATAGAGACCTTCTCAAATAATCAAAACCGGCCTCAAACAATGAGACAAGGTTCTATAGCAACTTTTATTTGTGTGTTGAGTCTAGTTAGGAGATCTAACTTTTTGATTGTGATAAGGTTTTATCATCAAACATATCGTCACACGCAGGAAAACAATTTGAGCTTTGTGAAAGACAAGACAGTGTGGGGGGGGGGGGGGGGGGGGGGGTGAATGACTGTCTTAAAATACTAAATTATGAGAGCAATAATAATCTAGATTCAATGCTGTTCCACCTTCCTCAGAACACACACACCCCCCTATAATTTGAGGGCTATTTTTCTCCATATTTTGATAGTGGATGAATAAAAAATGTCATAGCTTTCAATCATGCACGAAATACCCATAAAAACGGACCATTTAATAATCAAATCATAGACAATAACGTAAAACGTTTTCGAGATTCCACTACAATGAGCAGTGACGTAGGTTTGACATCTTAATGCAGGAGAGAGGGAGAAAGCATATGCTAGATACACCAGCTATCCTTTTAAAATTGCCAGGTCGATTCCATTCATTACCATCCCAAGTGTCGGATAGTAATTTACATAGACAAGGAGATGGCTACAGTACAGTAATGTTGTTCTATTTCTAGGTAATTGATTATGCCCTCACATTACCTTTAAGAATGTAAAACATTTTTGCATCTATAGACACAGTAATGTTGCCAGAGTATTAGGCACATGATAATACAATGGCATGGGTTATAGTATGTACCCACCACATTTTACAATGATGATGATGATGTCTGGCATATAGCAAATTGTGCATTACACATGACAAGCTTCTACAGAACATGTAGGCCTATACTCAGCTGTCACATCTCACAAAGACACACAGTTAAAAGATGCCATAAAGTCTGTAAGCAACATCATAGAATACCTGAATTTCATGAAAAAAAAACCTGCAAGAAAAAGAAATCTACACATATTTGGCTCTGAGCCTGAGTAATCCAAATGACCTTAACAAGTGCATTATGCTGAAGCCCCAAACTCAATATGGGAAACTTTGGGATGAATCAACCAATCATCATTAGTCATTATTTATTACATTTGCGGAGGCAAAAGTGGGGAGAAAGTGGTTAAAAACAGAACAATATTTTACAGTGTGCGTTAATAAGTCTGTCACCACCTATGGGCCCTTGTCTGATAATGACATTGTTCTGCTACAAGCTTTTGGGAAAAGGAAAAAAAGCTTTTTAGCGTGTTGCAAAAAGCCACCTCTTTAACGATGGCAATAAAATTGTTGTTTTACAACCTGCTTAAACTAGCCCCGAACGGACGGAAGCACCTCACTTCATCTTAGAGACTGCGTTGCTGTGATATTCTAGAATCTAGGGGAAACTACTGAGCACAAATAAAATGTGTGCTACCCAGTGGGCAAAACTTGTTTAAATGACATCTTTACAACCAGAAACCTGGCAAAACTGGTTAAGACGACGCCATTACAACCGTTGTAATGACGTCATTTCAACCAGTTTTGCCCAGTTTTACCGGCTGGGTAGGCAGGCACACCTGAAACTTCTATCCCTTTCCTCTTCCAAGATACGGAGATAATGGCCACAAATTGTACAAGTTTATATATGAATCTGTGTTCTGGCTTTTGCATTCGTTACAGACCAGGGTGTAAGCACTTTGGGCCATATACACTTTTCTAATGTCAATAGGGGGCAATCAGTGGTAAATGTGGTTGAGTAGCCTATTATGTGAAATCAATTAACTAAACAACACATCATACATTAAACTGATTATAAACTGCTATAGTCCCTATTTCAGGGAAGTCTAATGTTGAGCCCATGGGAATGTAATCAGACATTTTATAAAATTGCCTTATTTTGAAAAGCCCACCCAATGTTCCATCTATGGCGCTGGAACCACACTTCTAATAGATAGGCACCTGCATATCAAGCTAAATGTTTTTCAATTCATCGGCATACATAATGGTAACTTCAATCATCTCCTTGGCTTCCAACTGGTGAGATATGATGAGGTAGTCTAACTCAGGGGTTCGCAAACCTTTTCACTCAGGCCCCCATTCCAGCATTTCGACCCCCATGCGCGCCCATGTCTATTTCTATGGGCACAAGCACTGTTCATGACACAAACTGTTCACACCCCTCTTGTTGGCGGAGAGAAAATGTTGCAGGTTTATAGCTTATTTCCTGCAATTCTACACATTTTGTCATGGCAGCAGAGAAAATGTTGCTGTTCTAAAGCTCATTTTCTTGAAATTCTATAAATTTTGCTATGTGTAATCATGTGATATTTGAGTGACTCAAACATTACAACAAAATCTATGGGCTAAAAAAAACTTGATAAAAAACGTTAGCTGACATAAGCTAGTTGGACATTTCTGATAAGTTATAAATAGCTCTCTAAGGTATGCAATGACTGACATGACAAGAGGAAAACTGATGATGCACTACCCAATTTCGAAATTAAAAAGCAGGACTGAGTTTAAAGCCGGACTTAGTTCCTTTGGGGGGAGGTAGAGACACCCAGGCCCCCAGTTTGGGAACCACTGGTCTAATTGACAAGTGTGGCATCATAGGCTATATTTTTTGGCTGTATTCACTGCTATGTGCGGCACTGCCTCCTACAAGCAGAAAATGACATAGGGAGACATTTAACATCTTAGATCATGTAAATATTCTCAGAAAAATGACCATAATTATTTATAATTTTAACATCTTTGTACTGGTATATACGTATGACCGACGTGTCAGTAGAGATGATTCAGACTCCTCTGTATAATCTGTACAAGTTTATTATCCCACCCTTTCACAGGGGGAAATTCATTGGCATCTTTGGTAGACTATGTATCAGCGTCTCACCTGGAGCCGTGCGTTGTGCAGCATGAACTCCTGCTGCTTCTTGAAGTTCTGGTCCATAGATTTAGACAGCAGGAAACCCATGGTGCTGGTTTAGATAATAAAATGAAGCTACATATTAAGAGATAATAAAGCAAGGGTCAGGGCCCTGGGTTTATCCTGGTCAGGAAAAACTCAGGGCCCTATTAAAGCCACAACAATGGGGATTTCTTTGGTAGCATCTGCTGCTAGCAGAAACTATATCTGTAGAGTACTGCTCAAGGAATGACATTCATGGGAGAAAAAATAATTTTGTTAAATTGATAGCTAGCTAAAACTGTTCTTAAACTTGTATACCTGTGACACTTGAAACGTTCTACCTTGCTAACAGTAACGTTAAGTGGCTAGCTAGTTGTGCATTGAATCATTATTAGCTAACTAACGTTAGCTACCTAGTCGATGGAGCGTAAGGCAAACGGTTTTCACATTTGAAGTTATTGCATGCTGTATTGAAAAACCACTTCAAATCGCTGTGGCAGTGAAAAACATACCTTTTGTTTTATGTCGCTATTCTAGAATGTATTTAGCTAGCTAGTTATGATTAATGTGTGCTGCTCTGCTGAAGTTTCATTTCCCAAAGTTCTATGGGCATGTTCATGGAAGCAAGCATGCGCCGCCCACAACACCCGGGCGATTCTCTCATTGGTCAGAGTTTTGACCTTGAGGGACTTATTTTACGTTGAACTGGGAAAATGCCCGTCACGCCATTGGGCGAAAGCGGGGAGGAAGGAACGCCCCTCTTAAATCGAACAGTTATTTTGTCAACAAGGCAGCATAGTGCATCGTCCAGAAACATTTTCTAACTAGTTTTCATTGGGAAGGCAAAAAGCAATCACTTTTGCATGGGAAAACACAGAATTCTACTAAGGTTGTATTTCACAGCCACAGGATGTGGACGGTGGATGGCGGTTGTCACTAGTTACCACAGCCACAAATATGTACAAATCCATTAAAATAAAAAATAGGTTGTTGGGCTTAATTTAATGTTAGGGATAGGCATGAGGTTAGCAGTGTGGTTGTTAAGGTTAGGGCTATGTTTCAAATCAGATTTTAAGAAGTTAAATTGTAGGGTTTAGCCATTTATTGAAACGTTGTGGCTGTGATAACTAGTAAAGACCGTGGGTGGCTGAGTGATGTTCCCGAAAAGAGTGAAGTTGATCGATTCACGTCAAGGTAGGAGCTGAGTTTTTGTATATGACAGTAAAACATTCTTATGATGACTATACAATTTGTTGGCTCCTTCAATTCTTGCACATTTGCTCATAAAAGGTATATTATAACACTGTATGTTCAGGCAAATTTGCCGACCTACTAAACTTGGAATAAATCAGAACTCCCGTACATACCCCTCGAGATGAAGGCAGCCAATGGCCTGCTTCTATTTACGACTTAAACACAGCCTCTTCTGAAAACGCGAGCTGCTGTGCGGTGAAGAGGAACAGATATTGCTCGCTCCCAAAGACTGAAATAAGATAAATATATGTTTTCGAGTGCATTGAAATATTCATCATGCAATACGAATAGCCTTGATCGAATGAAGAGGTAACTCCATTTAGCCAATGTATTGAAAGCTAGCCAATGTTACAGTTTGACTAGCCTAGCCAGCTACTGTAAATTCCAATTTTGTATTTCATTAGCTAGCTCGCTCTCTGTCAGTGAATTCACATTTTTAATAATGTTTTGTCATGTCTTATTTAAAGTAACTAGCTGCAGGCTTAAAGAAACATTCAATCATATACTTTGCATAGAAACCCAAATAAATGCATGTAAATAGAAAGACGTGTGTGTGTCATGTATGCTAGAATGGAGGTTTAAAAACGACAGCTGCAAATGCATATTAGCCAATACATATGGCATAGACTATACATATAGCATACATTGCAATTCAAACTTACCTAAAAACAGTTGTACAATTGTACAATGTGCTTTGCAATAAGATAACCAGAATTTGATTTCTAAACCAGATTAGTTCTCAAACAGCAGCTGCCCAATACCATGGTGGGCATGCATAATGTTGGATGCATTGGAATATAAGGTATGGAGAATAATAAAGAGCCTGTAGGATTATAGAAAAAGCAGTTGGGAAATTAATGTTTGAGTTTCAAATACTAAATGTTCAATGAATGTGAGTACTTTTAGGTGGTTTACATAATTAACTTTCCTACTAACCTAATAAAAGTTGACAGTGTCAATCCATTCATTATTCTACTAACTATGACTGAGTGTGAGACATGTTTTCTGTAATTAATGAATAAGGCACAAGAGGCAGTGCTGTATCATGAATACAGTCACAGGTAAATGGGTTGACTGGCCCTCCGCTTTCGCGTCGAAACGAACAACGCCATTGACCTGTGACTTTTCATGATACAGCACTGTCTCTCGTGCCTTATAGCTTGTATAACTGTTACCAACATATTAAAATAACAATGAATGACATATTTTCATTAAAACGTTATTTTGATAAGTCAATTCATACAATTTCATTCTTCCACCAGAATATATATTCCGGACAAAAATCTGGTTACTTCTTTTGATCATTATATTTGCATAGTTTCTACAAAGATGTATTTTATAATTATTATATATTATTCCAAGATAGACCAGAGTCTTTCGTTTCCAATGGGAAAAATTAATCATAGTGGGCAGAACAAGTAAGGAGGTGGGCAGATCCAAGGACGAGATAGTGGGATCCTATTGGCGCGTTCTAGCATTTGTTTGCATATCTCCGCAAGGGATTGCCTACTCTGAAGTGTGCGTGTGCAATAACTCAGTTCGCCCTTGCACTTCTAAACAACGCAATTTTTAGAAACTTTAGCAAAGGGTAAAGTCTACAAAACGCAGTCCACTCTGTTTGTTACAGATTCTAGTTTTGGAAACAGAAAACTGCATGGAAATAAAATGTTTCGTCGATGAGTAAATTTGCAGAATGTCGGTCACTGGGCTTCCTCTCATCACCATATATGGTAGTGAGTGGAAACGCCAACCGGAGGCTTCACATTTATACATCCGGTGAAATGTGTAGCTCAATGTTCTGTGGTTGCTCTGCAAAATAACTGTTCGTCACTTGTTTGTGTCACTTGCTTGCTAGGTAACCAATTTCAGCTAACTCAGTCACGTCAAACATTGAACCTGGAATGACAGTACACTAGCTGCATTTTCTTTTTTTTTTTTAGCTTTTATTCTATTGGCATTTACTTGGATATGTCCATGACCATGATAATGACTTTGATGCCAAAAAATTGTCTCGTCTGGGCACCGTTCACTCTATTTATGGTCCTACAGAGATCGAAATTCAAAATTGAAACATTGTTTCCGAGGTCAGACAGGACAGCAAGGCTTATATTAACCCCTGCTGTACCAAACAAAATTCTAGGCTGGATGCAAGGGGAAATAATGTGCGAGTTGAGATAAATACAACAGATGATTCAGACAGCAACATCAACATGATATTCTTATGGAGGAGCAGTGTTGTATTTTTAGATGGAACTGTTTGCAGGCATAGGCGTGTCTGTTACAGCAAGGCTTGGAACACTGTTCGTCCAATCAGCATCCAGGATCCAAACAACCAGTTTTATAATGTAAGTTTCATGCATATACATCAGGCCAGGGGCACAACAAAGTATTCATTAATAGTTGGATCAGAATCGCCGTTATATCCATTGGCAAGTACGGAGAATTAAGTAAAACCACAAGTCCAAATTCCTATCTCCATCCTTGGCTAAAATAGGAAAGGGCCAATTTTAGCTAGCTGGCTAGCTAGCCACCGGAGGACAACAACACAACGAGATGCAACAATTCAAGTTTATCTGTCAATGGCGTTTATGCTTATCTTCATACTGTACTGTATTTGATGGTACCGGGGATAGGACACGAGCTTTGATTGGTTTAAAGGTTAGTACTCGGCGGTGTTTGCCTGTCCAGCCATATGCAGTATTTTGAAAAAGTGTGCAAGAATTGACAATGCCAACAAACGGAAATGTTTTCAAATAAATAAATATACACAATATATAAAAACCAGCTCCTCCCTCGACAGAGATCGATCATCTCGAAAACTGAAGAAGATATACATATAGAGGAAGGTTCACAGGGATAGTCAGATAGCTTTGGGTGAAGAAATGGCGCCCACTAGTGAATATTCTATTATATTGTATTCATGATGATTTAACTTTTCCCTCATATTAAACAGTAACCTCCAGTCTCATAAAATTAGGATTTATTTGGAAAGGGAGTACGGTTATTGTGGGTTAGGTTCATTAGTAACTTTGGCAATAAACAACGAAATTGTCTGGGCGGCGTGTTCCTTTGTAATGGGTTATTTTGGCTCACTGCCTGTTCAGGCTTGTCATAGTAGACTGCTGGGCTTGTTGCCCGTTTACTGTAAATTCAGAATCCTTCCTTGTAAAGGAAAGAAGGGATTTGATCATTTCCTCCTGTAGCCTACATTCGATATTATGCTACTATAGTCTATAAAACTATTGTGCAAGATGACAGTGAGGATTCTAACCATAATGATTCCCGATAATTTCAGACAAAGGAGATTGGGATTTACTAAACCTACGGTTATAGAATCTGTTAAAATTATTTCTGTCTAGACAGAGCTCTGTAAAAAGTTCACAGTGATACTTTTGCATTGGACAGTTTAGTTACTAATAGGTTACTCGCCCTCTTTGTGTCCAGCCAAAGTGAACGCATCTCGCATGCACAGTCACTAACAGGAAACTGCATGGTTTGAGGGGAGGAGAATTACGGTACGGGAAGAGGATAGGAAGATAAGTACTGCGCTACAAAACAGAATATATGTTACAGATGTGATATGATTATGAAAGAGCCTCTGAAGGAACAAGGAATACTTCTGTTAAGGTAGAATACTGCATGTACTGCATTTAGTCAGTGATGAACCATTTAGTTTATATGCCAACTGTTTTGCTTAATTGCTTTTATTTAAAAACGTGATGATATATTATGCAGCCTCATGAGATGCTTATAAAGTTATCTTTAAAATGTATGCAAGTAGGGTAATAATGTTCTAGTATCTTTTTCTTATCAATTATATTTTTAGTTGACTTACTCAGAAAGGCTTTCCCAAATCCACTATTCTCAGGTGAAATAACTTGCTAAATGAATGGCCCATAATAACCTCTCTATACTGTAGCAGAAATGCTATTGTTATGTTTCAATATCCCCTCTGTTCTGCACATAACTTTTTCATGTTTTTATACATATGTATTTCCCATGGTCTATTATTCTGCTGTGATATAGTCATCAAATGGATGATCTCTTTTCCAGATTATTATTATTATTATTATTATTATTATTATTATTATTATTATTAGGTCAATTGTTTGATTATATGTTCAAGCAATAGGCAGAATACATCATTGGACAAATAACAATTCGATTGTCAGCACACCCCAACAGATTTTTGAAGGTGGGTTTATTGTATTGATTTAAAAGTTGAATCTATGCCATTCAGTAAGCTGTACTGAGCCTGATGTGTTCCATTTGTTTACATTCACTAATCTTGACCAGGTGTACACTACCAGTCAAAAGTTTTAGAACCCCTACTCATTCAAGGGTTTTTCTTATTTTTTAACTATTTTCTACATTGTAGAATAATAGTGAAGACATTGAGATTCTTCAAATAGCCACCCTTTGCCTTGATGACAGCTTTGCACAGTCTTGGCATTCTCTCAACCAGCTTCACCTGGAATGCTTTTCCAACAGTCTTGAAGGAGCTCCCACATATACTGAGCACTTGTTGGCTGCTTTTCCTTCACTCTGCGGTCCGACTCATCCCAAACCATCTCAATTTGGTTGAGGTCTGGGGATTGTGAAGGCCAGGTCAATGCAGCACTCCATCACTCTCCTTCTTACACAGCCTGGAGGTGTGTTGGGTCATTGTCCTGTTGAAAAACAAATGATAGTCCCACTAAGCCCAAACCAGATGGGATGTCGTATCGCTGCAGAATGCTGTGGTAGCCATGAATTCTAAATAAATCACAGACAGTGTCACCAGCAAAGCACCCCCACACCATAACACCTCCTCCTCCATGCTTTACGGTGGGAAATACACATGGGGAGATCATCCGTTCACCCACATCGCGTCTCACAAAGACACGGCGGTTGGAACCAAAAATCTCCAATTTGGACTCCAGACCAAAGGACAAATTTCCACCTGTCTAATGTTCATTGCTCGTGTTTCTTTGTCCATGCAGGTCTCTTCTTCTTATTGGTGTCCTTTAGTAGTGGTTTCTTTGCAGCAATTCGACCATGAAGTTCTGATTCACACAGTCTCCTCTGAACAGTTGATGTTGAGATGTGTCTGTGACTTGAACTCTGTGAAGCATTTATTTGGGCTGCAATTTCTGAGGCTGGTAACTCTAATGAACTTATCCTCTGCAGCAGAGGTAACTCTGGGTCTTCCATTCCTGTGGCGGTCCTCATGAGAGCCAGTTTAATCATAGCTCTTGATGGTTTTTGCGACTGCACCGTAAAAAACTTCTAAAGTTCTTTACCTGTGGTAAATTCAATTGATTGGACATGATTTGGAAAGGCACACACCTGTCTATATAAAGGTCCCACAGTTGACAATGCATGTCAGAGCAAAAACCAAGCCATGAGGTCCAAGGAATTGTCTGTAGTGCTCCGAGACAGGATTGTGTCGAGGCATAGATCTGGGGAAGGGTACCAAAAAATATCTTCAGCATTGAAGGTCCCCAAGAACACAGTGGCCTCCATCTTTATTAAATGGAAGAAGTTTGGAACCACAGAGACTCTTCCTAGAGCTGGCCGCCCGGACAAACTGAGCAATAGGGGGAGAAGGGCCTTGGTCAGGGAGGTGACCAAGAACCCAATGGTCACTCTGACAGAGCTCCAGAGTTCCTCTGTGGAGATGGGACTCTCAGACCATGAGAAACAAGATTGAACTCTTTGGCCTGAATGCCAAGCGTCACGTTTGGAGAGAACCTGGCACCATCCCTACGGTAAAGCATGCTGTTGGCAGCATCATGCTGTGGAGATGTTTGTCATGATGGGGTATTGTGTGTAGATTGTTTTTTCCCCTCATCAATCTAACCCATTTTAGAATAAGGCTGTAACGTAACAAAATGTTGAAAAAGTCAAGGGGTCTGAATACTTTCCGAATTCACTGTAGGCCCATATTATTTTTATTTTGGGTAACAGTTGCTGACTCGCTAGAGAACAAGCTCAGACCAGCCTTATAAAGATGTAGGATCTTCATTTGATCTCTCGTTTGTTGCTGAGCATTTTCCTGCACAGCAGGAAATGCAAACTTGTAGTGTATTTCAGTTTTTAAAAGGCTTCTAAAATTTGTAATTTCCACTTTGAAATTTCAGACTTGATTTGCCCTAATGAAAAATTTATCAACCCCTAAAATGTCCATTCATTACAATCCACATAATAATTCACATTTCCTGTTGCTGCAGGATTATTTTCCTGCTGGAACAAACTGACTTAAATGAAGGTCCTACATCTGTACAGTAGTTTTAGTGTGGCAATATGTGTTCTATTTATATGGACTGACTCATAACTCCACTTACAAAAGGTTATCATTGCAACATTTCAAATGTTTTCTTTCTTCTCTAGTTCAAATGGAGCAGTCCTTTCTTTTGGTTTTACAAGTAGTCTTATGGCCCACTCTTGCAGGTATGTTATTGAGGTTTTTAAGTACACAATGCAATACAATAGAGACTCAGGGCCACATTTAAAAGTTTGTTTGTTTAATTCATAGACCCCCCCCCCCCCCCCCCCCACGTCTCTCTTTCTCTCTCTCCACACAGCCTTGTTCACAGTGGAGGTGGACAGTCCATCCCACGTGGCAGAGTTCCGCAGTGATGTCACCATGGGTTGCAGGTTCCAACCTGGGGGCCGGGGCCCAAACCTGTCAGTGATATGGCATCGCATCTGGCCTCCTCCAGTTGTGGAGGTGTACAGGTTGGAGAACAGACAGGAAGACCTCACTTCCCAGAATCCCCAGTACCGTGGCAGGGTGCGACTGGTGACGGAGGAGATTACCAATGGGTGGGCCAAGCTAGAGGTGTCCATGCTGAGGATCAATGACTCTGGGACCTACCAATGCCTTGTGGAAATGGTGGGAGCTGATTACAAACAGACCACTTTGACTGTCAAAGGTTAGCCATGAATCTGTCAGTGTAACAGAACATTACTCTAGGCTAATTCTAATTTCCAGTCATTCAGTATTGAGTAATAAACTTGAATTGTTTAAAATAATTGTGGTAACACTTTACATTAAGTTGCTCGTAAACCTAAGTAGTAACGCTGTAATTACACTTTATATTATCATGTTGTTACATAGTAACGTTTTTACATTCATCCATCTTTTAGCCGCCTATAAAACTATCGTTAAAAGCATGAAGAGACGTAGGGGAGATGAGGTAGAGCTGATCTGTGAGTCTGAGGGCTATCCTCTGGCCACTATGACCTGGAGAGACAGGAGTCTCAGGAACATCAAGTCCAACGACACCACTATTAGAACTCCAGACCAGCTTTTCCAAGTCACCAGCAAGATAACAGTGAAATCATCTGACAAAAACAACTATACCTGTGCCTTGGTGGAGGAAGGTGACGTTCCAAAGGGTCCATCAGCCAGGTTTGACATCCCAGGTATGAAGTGAATTTCTATGTTTGATAACAGGGTACCTCAATAAGGACTTCATAACACATTCATAACTCATACATAACACATTAATAAGCTGTTTATGCACTGCTTATAAATGTGTTATGAAGTCCTTGTGTAGGTACCCTCCAAATACAATGTTACCCCTGTTTTTATTTTTACTTGCAAAGTCTGGCCTCACACCTCTTGCTTGACACTGATACCCCACAAATGAGATTCTGTGACATTGTACTGACTGCACAAGGTAATGGAAACTAGGAGGTTATAGTGAGGCCTACACTATTTTTACATTGAGTGTGTAGATGTGTTGTTGATAAAAAGGTGCTATAAACGGGTGCTTTCCTCAATGATCATGGTGTCAAAACGTAGGTATCTGTAATATCTTCCCTTCCATTCAACAAAACACATTGTAGGAGTTATAAGTCAATGTGGGAGAAAAAGGGCGTTGAAGATGGTTATAGAGATAGTGGAGATATAGTGCATCTTTCCATGAAAACCAAATATAATCAATTTCCCCGACCCGTCTGAACTACTGGCGGTCACTGTTGGTTATGATTTGGGGAAGTTCGCACCAGCGTATCTTGTGTAATATCGGGTTATTTCCAAAATGCTTGTTTTTGTTTTGAACTTCAAACTAAGAACATAGGCAACATTCTTGTGATGTATTATGTGTTACATATACTATATATATTCCATGATGCAAAATAACATTGTTTGCCTCTCCTCAATATTTTTTCTTCACAGATGAAACAGACCTACCAGCAATTAATAGTAAATGTAACACCCTTTCTATTGCATTGGGCACATCACTGACAGTGGCCATGATCATTGCTGCTGCCATCTTTGGTTATCGCAGATGGAGAGGTAACTTTTCTGCTGCTCTTACTTGATTTGCACACATTTTTGTCTCAGGTTTACAACAAGGAGTTTCCACTGTTTCTTGTATGCTGAGATAGAGACCAGATGATGTACTGTAATCTCTAAAGGTGTAGATATGCTGTTGAGACCAGAATAATCAATGAGATGGTGTTTTTCTGACTCATGATCTCGTGGCAATGACTTAGCATGTGAGAACATGAGTGTTCACTTTCTAAACTTATCTGAACTGCTACCTGTGAAAACACCCCCACAGACACGATTTCTGCTTTTGTGTCAGGGGGATTTTACATGTTGTAAAATCATGTGGGTGGTTACTCAATATAGAACTAGTCATTCCTTATGTTTAGAATAGTCTCCTATCATTCTTTTGGTTACATTTCTATGGTATTGCATAGTATTTTGAGAAGTCTGCGTGTTCAAACGAATTAGAAAGAGGAATGTCCCAAACTGCCTTTGACAGTAAATACTAGACAGTGACAAATGCAGTTACTACTTAGTAAGTAAAAACCTTAGTAGGTACAGAAAAATAGCTCTTGTGAATCCTTACCACCAACAACACCAGGGGGGAGCAATCGTCTGGCAACGAAACAGTTCATTCAGCCTCATTTACTGACTTTTTAAAACCATGGCTGACTTGCTTAAACAAATGTGGTGTCTACTGACTCCTTGTAGATTTGTGGAAGTTGATAAGAACCTCATTGTCCTTCAATAATAACATTTGACAGTAAATACTAGACAGTGACAAATGCAGTTACTACTTAGTAAGTAAAAACCTTAGTAGGTACAGCAAAATAGCTCTTGCAACATGGAATGGAACAGAATATAAACTATTGTAAACTATACCTTGCTTTAACTTTCTGCTCACAGGGAGTCCCAGATATCCCAGCACCCCAAGCACTAACACCCTCCTAGGCTCAGCAGAGACGGGACCTGGACTCCTTTGGTGTCCAGCAGCTTCAACTGGCCCTGGTGATGAACTGTTAGAGGGTCACACAGGTGACCTGCTCTAGGAGGTAATAGAGAAGGAACATGTCAGGACTGTGCTGAAGCTCCTCACTGAGACTGAGACAGTAAACTATGTGCAAAGGACTGAGAACACAATAGACTCATGCACACACGTACACTCACATTGACTCTGTCAGATAAGGTTTAATCATGTTACATTTGCTGGTACCTCAATAAAATGTTTTACGTTTTAATATTAACAACACATTTCACAATTGTTTTGATAACAACAAACCGCTGATAATGTGCTTAAACCCAGTGTTGATTTTCGCATGTAAATCTGGGTGGGGCAAACTCCCCCAGAAATTGTTATGCATGCCAGCAAAGCCACTACAAAACACAACAGTAATACATTAATTGCACTATAACGGTGACAAACGGTGCCCACAAACTGAAGGGCCTACATAAAGCTGTCCCAACAGCGGAGCTTTCCTTTCATCACAATGGAGTGAATCCTTACCACCAACTACACCAGGGGGGAGCCTCGTCTGGCAATGAAACAGTTCATTCAGCCTCATTTACTGACTTTTTAAAACCATAGCTGATATATGGCTGACTTGCTTAAACAAATGTGATTTCTACTGACTCCTTGTGGATTTGTGTAAGTTGATAAGAACCTCATTGTCCTTCAATAATAACGAACGCCAACATGAGTTTTGAATTCATCATGTTTATTCTTATATCATTAACACTAAGCTCTAACTATAAGTAAGTGCAAGCAAACGAGCTACGAAGAGGTAGGCTTATTAGTTCAGCACTTTCAAAATGGACACCGACAGAAATTCAGATAGAGAAACGCGGCTAGCCTACCATTTAAAGTATTTTATTAGGCCTCTGTGGTCTAAAAAGGAAGGAAAATACAATCATGAGGATCCACTTTTATAGACAATATACTTACGCACAGACAGCGCATTGCGCAAAAAAAACAACCCTCACAATATCAACGGAAATTACATGGGTCTATTACTGAACTTTTTGTTGAAAACAAATATTTGAATGGGAAGAGACTGTCCCTGGCAAACATGGTTACAGACCCAACAACATATTATATAGTATCCCCTCCTCATGAAGAAAAGCACATGAGCTAATTTATGCAGCAGCATACAAGACATTTTTGGACTCACCGTTGTTGTGCTGTGCTCACTTGAACAGGAAGGTGGCGCGTTGGTCCTTGTGGGCAAATTTTGTCATCAAAGGTGCTTTCAAGACAACTGGGAACTCAAGGTGGAATCATGACGTCAGTGATCTTCAGGTCGGAACTCTAGAAAGAGGCCTGAATTCCCGGCTTGGAATTCCAAGTTGGATAACCGTTCAAAACGTATTTTCCCAGTCGGAGCTTGTTTTTTTCAGAGTTCCCAGTTGTCTTGAACTCACTGAAGTCTGAGATTTCCCAGTTCCGAGTTTCCAGTTGTTTTGAACGAGGCAGAAGTCATGCTGGATTGACAGCATGGCCAATGTATTCAACCTTTTCTGGCCCATGGTGTTGCGAGTGAATGTTTATCCTTTTAAGCTTGGAAAAGACACAATTTCTGACAGTTGTTTTAAATCCTTAAACCCAGACTTGGACCATACACCCTGTCCACCGAATAGCAGGCAGGGGAAGTAAAATAGTGATTGCTTTGCAACGCTTGCAGTTAGCCACTGATTCCTTCCATACCACTCGTTGTTGAATTTGTGATTTCCAACTTGTATAATGTTTATGTCCAATGGCCAATGAGTACCGATACGTTTTATCTATAATTTATCTTCATATGACAAGGATTGAAAAGGATTTGCCAGTAGATTGTTGAATAAATGCCTGGCATATCACATAAGAGCTTGGTAGTCAGGAAGCCCGTATGCCAGCAATGTAACAAATGGATACATGAGTCATCAGATCTACGGTAATCTAAAATACATATACAGTGGGGGAAAAAAGTATTTAGTCAGCCACCAATTGTGCAAGTTCTCCCACTTAAAAAGATGAGAGAGGCCTGTAATTTTCATCATAGGTACATGTCAACTATGACAGACAAATTGAGAAAAAAAAATCCAGAAAATCAGATTGTAGGATTTTTAATGAATTTATATGCAGATTATGGTGGAAAATAGGTATTTGGTCACCTACAAACAAGCAAGATTTCTGGCTCTCACAGACCTGTAACTTCTTCTTTAAGAGGCTCCTCTGTCCTCCACTCGTTACCTGTATTAATGGCACCTGTTTGAACTTGTTATCAGTATAAAAGACACCTGTCCACAACCTCAAACAGTCACACTCCAAACTCCACTATGGCCAAGACCAAAGAGCTGTCAAAGGACACCAAAAACAAAATTGTAGACCTGCACCAGGCTGGGAAGACTGAATCTGCAATAGGTAAGCAGCTTGGTTTGAAGAAATCAACTGTGGGAGCAATTATTAGGAAATGGAAGACATACAAGACCACTGATAATCTCCCTCGATCTGGGGCTCCGCGCAAGATCTCACCCCGTGGGGTCAAAATGATCACAAGAACGGTGAGCAAAAATCCCAGAACCACACGGGGGGACCTAGTGAATGACCTGCAGAGAGCTGGGACCAAAGTAACAAAGCCTACCATCAGTAACACACTTCGCCGCCAGGGACTCAAATCCTGCAGTGCCAGACGTGTCCCCCTGCTTAAGCCAGTACATGTCCAGGCCCGTCTGAAGTTTGCTAGAGTGCATTTGGATGATCCAGAAGAGGATTGGGAGAATGTCATATGGTCAGATGAAACCAAAATAGAACTTTTTGGTAAAAACTCAACTCGTCGTGTTTGGAGGACAAAGAATGCTGAGTTGCATCCAAAGAACACCATACCTACTGTGAAGCATGGGGGTGGAAACATCATGCTTTGGGGCTGTTTTTCTGCAAAGGGACCAGGACGACTGATCCGTGTAAAGGAAAGAATGAATGGGGCCATGTATTGTGAGATTTTGAGTGAAAACCTCCTTCCATCAGCAAGGGCATTGAAGATGAAACGTGGCTGGGTCTTTCAGCATGACAATGATCCCAAACACACCGCCCGGGCAACGAAGGAGTGTCTTCGTAAGAAGCATTTCAAGGTCCTGGGAGGGCCTGGGCCAGTCTCCAGATCTCAACCCCATAGAAAATCTTTGGAGGGAGTTGAAAGTCCGTGTTGCCCAGCGACAGCCCCAAAACATCACTGCTCTAGAGGAGATCTGCATGGAGGAATGGGCCAAAATACCAGCAACAGTGTGTGAAAACCTTGTGACTTACAGAAAACGTTTGACCTGTGTCATTGCCAACAAAGGGTATATAACAAAGTATTGAGAAACTTTTGTTATTGACCAAATACTTATTTTCCACCATAATTTGCAAATAAATTAATTATAAATCCTACAATGTGATTTTCTGGAAGATTTTTTCTCATTTTGTCTTTTGTCTGTCATAGTTGACGTGTACCTATGATGAAAATTACAGGCCTCTCTCATCTTTTTAAGTGGGAGAACTTGCACAATTGGTGGCTGACTAAATACTTTTTTCCCCCACTGTATGTATGACCTATTTTATGTTTTGTACAATCCAGGGGGATTTCCTTGTTCCTGTTATTGGCATAGATGTTGAGTTGAATGGTGAAGGAAGTTTGTTGTTAATAATGTTCCTTAAGAGTCTATTGATGCACCCATGTGTCAATCTAATGAACATAATAAAAAAATCTTTGTCTCAATCCACCGCATCCGCCTAAGTCGGCCTTCCGCATCTGCAGTGGAACGTGTCAGACCAGGAGACATCCCCAAAATAGGTCTTCTTACAAAAACGTCTGTAGCGTCCGAACTGTTTGGGCTACAAACCCCACTATGGAAAGGGGAGACTCTCACGAACACAATGGTGTTCTCCATTTTGCACTACGTCATGGGACTCATCTGAAAGTAACCTGGTACCGTTTTTAAAAAATGAATGGAAGTATGGAAGTAGTTTAATGCCAACAAAAAAAGGGGTTAAATGTTTCCAAAAAATGTAAATATTTCCTGAGCTTTCATATATTTCCAAGATTTAGGACAAACACTTCAAAACATTATTCATTATGATACATTTTTTGACTGTCTGTTTTGCCATTTATGAATGTGTTATTCAATGCATTTCTATGCTCTATTGTAGTAAAGGCCAAATTTCAATATTTTATCCAAAAATATATGTTTTGGGGGGATACCTACAGGGGTCAAATAGCTAAATGATCCTAAGTAGAGCACACTTTTTTTTAATGATGTAATTTCTCAATCAAATTTTGTACTGACGGATGTAGCCTATTGGATATCATTGTAGAATAAGCCTATCCTCCAATTGCAATGTTTTCCTATGCCCACACATATTGTCAGAAGATAAATGTATATTTTTAATACCCTCAAACACCAAGTTAGGCATACCTAAAAATAGGCCATCATCACCATCAATCGTGAATTATATTTCTTCACATTTTACTGGTGAAATGTCCAAACTACATGCCAATAATCTCAATCAGTTTCTTGGTAGTCTTAAACATATCTACTTTGAAACAGGTATACACCTCACACACATGTTTATGAGCTTAAAGATAAGAAGACACCTGTACCATGTCAGATATAGAGTTGAAATGTATTCAATTTAGAGTTTGCATCCCAATATTATGCTTTATATACAGTGCATTTGGAAAGTATTCACACCACTTCCCTTTTTCCACATTCTGTTACGTTACAGCCTTATTCTAAAATTGATTAAATAAATAAAAATCCTCATCAATCTACACACAATACCCCATAATGACAAAGCAAAAACAGGTTCTTAGACATTTTTGAAAATGTATTAAAATAAAAAACACATACCTTATTTACATATGTATTCAGACCCTTTGCTATGAGACTCGAAATTGAGCTCAGGTGCATGCTGTTTCCATTGATCATCCTTGAGATGTTTCTACAACTTGATTGGACATGATTTGGAAAGGCACTCACCTGTCTATATAAGGTCCCACAGTTGACAGCGCATGTCAGAGCAAAAACCAAGCCATGAGGTTGAAGCAATTGTCTGTAGAGCTCCGAAACAGGATTGTGCCAAAGCACAGATCTGGGGAAGGGTACCAAAACATTTCTGCAGCATTGAAGGTCCCCAAGAACACAGTGGCCTCCATCATTCTTAAATTGAAGAAGTTTGGAACCACCAAGATGGTGGTCACTCTGACAGAGCTCCAGAGTTCCTCTGTGGAGATGGGAAAACCTTCCAGAAGTACAACCATCTCTGCAGCACTCCACCGAATCAGGCCTTTATAGTAGAGTGGCCAGACGGAAGCCACTCCTCAGTAAAAGGCACATGAAAGCCTGCTTGGAGTTTGCCAAAAGGCACCTAAAGGACTCTCAGACCATGAGAAACAAGATTCTCTGGTCTTGTTGGAAGGTTCACCTTCCAACAAGACAACGACCCTAAGCACACAGTCAAGACAATGCAGGAGTGGCTTCGGGACAAGTCTCTGAATGTCCTTGAGTGGCCCAGACAGAGCCCGGAATTGAACCCGATCGAACATCTCTGGAGAGACCTGAAAATAGCTGTGCAGCGACGCTCCCCATCCAACCTGACAGAGCTTGAGAGGATCTGCAGAGAAGAATGGGAGAAACTCCCCAAATACAGGTGTGCCAAGCTTGTAGCGTCATACCCAAGAAGACTTGAGGCTGTAATCGCTGCCAAAGGTGCTTCAACAAAGTACTGAGTAAAGGGTCTGAATACTTATGTAAATGTGATATTTCCTGTTTTTTGTTAAGTTTTTGCTTAGTCATTGAGGGGGGAAAAAACTATTTAATCAATTTTAAAATAAGGCTGTAACGTAACATAATATGGGGAAAAAAATCAAGGGGTCTGAATACTTGAGAATGCACTGTACATCACAGAAGACTGAAATATAACACAACCGTTTGACATAGAAACACTGGATTTCCGGCAGTTTCTTTAATTTTTTTATAATATTGATTAATTATGAAAAAAATGAATAACATTCCACCCATGAGGCCACTAGAGGGCAATTTGGTCATTTGACTGCAGGAAAGGACTACAGCATATGGTGTTAAACTATTAGCCTTTCTTTTAGGCCGATTTTTGTTTCAATCAAAACATAGGCCTATATCCTGCCTAGTTGGGCACACTGTTGAGTTAATTTTCCAGAAATATTTTTACCATCTCCGTATATTCTCAATTTGAAAAAAGTGAGGGAGCGTCGCTCCTCCGCGCTACGGCAACACTACATCCCTAGTAAATATTTACCATGACTGGCAGAATACCAACTATTTGCCCTTTATCAACATAAAGCCAAGTCAGCCCAGCCTCTTTATATTTACTGTGCACTGTGTGCAATGACTTAGCATGTGAGAACATGAGTGTGCACTTTCTAAATTTATCTGAACTGCTACCTGTGAAAACACCCCCACAGACACGATTTCTGCTTTTGTGCTCATAAACCTAAGTAGTAACGCTGTAATTACACTTTATATTATCATGTTGTTACATAGTAACGTTTTTACATTCATCCATCTTTTAGCTGCCTATAAAACTATCGTTAAAAGCATGAAGAGACGTAGGGGAGATGAGGTAGAGCTGATCTGTGAGTCTGAGGGCTATCCTCTGGCCACTATGACCTGGAGAGACAGGAGTCTCAGGAACATCAAGTCCAACGACACCACTATTAGAACTCCAGACCAGCTTTTCCAAGTCACCAGCAAGATAACAGTGAAATCATCTGACAAAAACAATTATACCTGTGCCTTGGTGGAGGAAGGTGAAGTTCCAAAGGGTCCATCAGCCAGGTTTGACATCCCAGGTATGAAGTGAATTTCTATGTTTGATAACAGGGTACCTCAATAAGGACTTCTTAACACATTCATAACTCATACATAACACATTAATAAGCTGTTTATGCACTGCTTATAAATGTGTTATGAAGTCCTTGTGTAGGTACCCTCCAAATATAATTACACAAAAAAAATGTATGCACGCATGACTGTAAGTCGCTTTGGATAAAAGCGTCTGCTAAATGGCATATTATTATTATTATATTATTATAATGTTACCCCTGTTTTTATTTTTACTTGCAAAGTCTGGCCTCACACCTCTTGCTTGACACTGATACCCCACAAATGAGATTCTGTGACATTGTACTGACTGCACAAGGTAATGGAAACTAGGAGGTTATAGTGAGGCCTACACTATTTTTACATTGAGTGTGTAGATGTGTTGTTGATAAAAAGGTGCTATAAACGGGTGCTTTCCTCAATGATCATGGTGTCAAAACGTAGGCGTCTGTAATATCTTCCCTTCCATTCAACAAAACACATTGTAGGAGTTATAAGTCAATGTGGGAGAAAAAGGGCGTTGAAGATGGTTATAGAGATAGCGGAGATATAGTGCATCTTTCCATGAAAACCAAATATAATCAATTTCCCCGACCCGTCTGAACTACTGGCGGTCACTGTTGGTTATGATTTGGGGAAGTTCGCACCAGCGTATCTTGTGTAATATCGGGTTATTTCCAAAATGCTTGTTTTTGTTTTGAACTTCAAACTAAGAACATAGGCAACATTCTTGTGATGTATTATGTGTTACATATACTATATATATTCCATGATGCAAAATAACATTGTTTGCCTCTCCTCAATATTTTTTCTTCACAGATGAAACAGACCTACCAGCAATTAATAGTAAATGTAACACCCTTTCTATTGCATTGGGCACATCACTGACAGTGGCCATGATCATTGCTGCTGCCATCTTTGGTTATCGCAGATGGAGAGGTAACTTTTCTGCTGCTCTTACTTGATTTGCACACATTTTTGTCTCAGGTTTACAACAAGGAGTTTCCACTGTTTCTTGTATGCTGAGATAGAGACCAGATGATGTACTGTAATCTTTAAAGGTGTAGAGATGCTGTTGAGACCAGAATAATCAATGAGATGGTGTTTTTCTGACTCATGATCTCGTGGCAATGACTTAGCATGTGAGAACATGAGTGTGCACTTTCTAAACTTATCTGAACTGCTACCTGTGAAAACACCCCCACAGACACGATTTCTGCTTTTGTGTCAGGGGGATTTTACATGTTGTAAAATCATGTGGGTGGTTGCTCAATATAGAACTAGTCATTCCTTATGTTTAGAATAGTCTCCTATCATTCTTTTGGTTACATTTTTATGGTATTGCATAGTATTTTGAGAAGTCTGCGTGTTCAAACGAATTAGAAAGAGGAAAGTTCCAAACTGCCTTTGACAGTAAATACTAGACAGTGACAAATGCAGTTACTACTTAGTAAGTAAAAACCTTAGTAGGTACAGAAAAATAGCTCTTGTGAATCCTTACCACCAACAACACCAGGGGGGAGCAATCGTCTGGCAACGAAACAGTTCATTCAGCCTCATTTACTGACTTTTTAAAACCATAGCTGATATGGCTGACTTGCTTAAACAAATGTGGTGTCTACTGACTCCTTGTAGATTTGTGTAAGTTGATAAGAACCTCATTGTCCTTCAATAATAACGAACGCCAACATGAGTTTTGAATTCATAATGTTTATTCTTATATCATTAACACTAAGCTCTAACTATAAGTAAGTGCAAGCAAACGAGCTACGAAGAGGTAGGCCTATTAGTTAAGCACTTTCAAAATGGACACAGACAGAAATTCAGATAGAGAAACGCGGCTAGCCTACCATTTTAAGTATTTTATTAGGCCTCTGTGGTCTAAAAAGGAAGGAAAATACAATCATGAGGATCCACTTTTATAGACAATATACCTATGCACAGACAGCGCATTGCGCAAAAAAACAACCCTCACACTATCAACTGAAATTACATGGGTCTATTACTGAACTTTTTGTTGAAAACAAATATTTGAATGGGATGAGACTGTCACTGGCAAACATGGTTACAGACCTAGCAACATATTATATAGTATCCCCTCCTCATGAAGAAAAGCACATGAGCTAATTTATGCAGCAGCATACAAGACATTTTTGGACTCACCGTTGTTGTGCTGTGCTCACTTGAACAGGAAGGTGGCGCAATGATCCTTCTTGTGGGCAAATTTTGTCATCAAAGGTGCTTTCAAGACAACTGGGAACTCAAGGTGGAATCATGACGTCAGTGATCTTCAGGTCGGAACTCTAGAAAGAGGCCTGAATTCCCGGCTTGGAATTCCAAGTTGGATAACCGTTCAAAACGTATTTTCCCAGTCGGAGCTTGTTTTTTTCAGAGTTCCCAGTTGTCTTGAACTCACTGAAGTCTGAGATTTCCCAGTTCTGACATTCCAGTTGTTTTGAACGAGGCAGAAGTCATGCTGGATTGACAGCATGGCCAATGTATTCAACCTTTTCTGGCCCATGGTGTTGCGAGTGAATGTTTATCCTTTTAAGCTGGGAAAAGACACAATTTCTGACAGTTGTTTTAAATCCTTAAACCCAGACTTGGACCATATACTCTGTCCACCGAATAGCAGTCAGGGGAAGCAAAATAGTGATTGCTTTGCAACGCTTGCAGTTAGCCACTGATTCCTTCCAAACCACTCATTGTTGAATTTGTGATTTCCAACTTGTTGTGTAATGTTTATGTCCAATGGCCGATGAGCACCGATACATTTTATCTATAATTTCTCTTCATATGACAAGGATTGAAAAGGATTTGCCAGTAGATTGTCGAAGTGATTCATGATGATGACTGCTTGTCTAGCAACTAGCTAAGATTTTGAACATAACATGATCAGTCCAATCAAAGTTACGGTAGATATAACGTGATTGACGTCATTTTATTTGTGGCCAATGACCTTGAGCCTTCTTGGACGGGCACTTCAAATGTAAATCTATGGCAGCACCCAAGGGGGCTTGAACTGCCTAGCTCTCCCTGTAGATTCTGCGGTGACATAGTGTCCCCATGAGTGACAGAACACTGAGCTAATCACGGCGCAACTAGAGAAGATTACCAATGCCTATACTCTGTATATTCCACTGGCTGTCCCTCCACCACAGAAAGTATTGAGCTAGGCTGAAACACTTGCATTTTGGAGCTGCCTTACTCAAGAAAGAGACCATGTTTGTATGCGGCTTTATTAACTCAATATGTGACATTAATTAATGCCAAAATAATATTTGTTTTGCTTAACAGGTGGGGCTCAAAACCCATCTGCCCTGAATGACGGGTCGCCACTTCTTATACCACATTTACTTGCTGTATATGCTGTACCTTTACTATGTATAATACAGAGATAATAACATGGTAAATGTTTATACAGAGATGTCCCATGTTGGGGGATGTTATTGAAAAACCAGTTCACCTTCATGCTCCAAATGAAACTCCAGAAAGCAAATGTGTGATTTCAGCCACAGTTTTAGTATTGCTCATATTAATGCAGTTATTTACAGTACCTCAAGGATTTTATGCTGTTTGATACGCATTATGAGTCTAACCATTTGCTGACAACACAGTTTCACTTTCAGTCTCTAAAGATAGCTGTGCTAAAACAAGGAAATGATCTTGATTTTTCCAGTGAAATAAAAACATTCAGTCATCAAACAAACTCAGTCATCAACTCTGCTCTTCTTTCTAATTCCCATTATATAACAGACGACTACATTGTAAAACAACTGATACATGATGTCCCTTGATAATTGTTTGCTATTTGTGACAGTCTATGCTTTGTTACAAAAGGAAACAGACAATGATTTCCCAGTATCTCCACCCTGTGAGGATCTTTTCCTTATTGATGTGTCTTACCTCAGATATCAGTGTCTTTCTTCTGTTGTACCCAATTTATCTACTGTTATACCATGGTGTTAAATAACATAAGCCATTAGTTTGGAAGGGCATTTTTCTTCTGTGCATAATCATAAGGATAATAATTAAAATGCTCTTTCCTCAGCATTTCAAACATATATGAAACAGTGTGTGCCGTGAATCACTGGCCAACATGCTCTGTTGTCGTATTATAACTAACAACCAAAGTATGATTATCCTACTGAAAAGTCTGGTGGTTTCCAGTGCCTCTGACCTCCACTGTGTAGAGCACCCATTAGTGGTCATTACTCATTATTACAATGCTCAGCTCAAAATGGGAGACAAGCCTGGGCTTCTGAGGCTAGAATAAATCAAGAGTTATTTGTGTAATGTATGTGGTGTTTGTGAATAAATGCCTGGCATCATCACATAAGAGCTTGGTCAGTTGGTAGAGCATGGCGCTTGCAACGCCAGGGTTGTGGGTTCGTTTCCCACGGGGGGCCAGAATGAAAATGTATGCACTCACTAACTGTAAGTCGCTCTAGATAAGAGTAAATGTAAAATGTAGTCAGGAAGCCCGTATGCCAGCAATGTAACAAATGGATACATGAGTCATCAGATCTAAAATACATACCTATTTTATTTTTTGTACAACCCAGGGGGATTTCCTTGTTCCTGTTATTGGCATATATTGGCATACAGTGGGGAGAACAAGTATTTGATACACTGCCGATTTTGCAGGTTTTCCTACATACAAAGCATGTAGAGGTCTGTAATTTCTATCATAGGTACACTTCAACTGTGAGAGATGGAATCTAAAACAAAAATCCAGAAAATCACATTGTATGATTTTTAAGTAATTCATTTGCATTTTATTGCATGACATAAGTATTTGATACATCAGAAAAGCAGGTTTCTGTACCAAATATTAAGTTCTGCTTTTCTGATGTATCAAATACTTATGTCATGCAATAAAATGCAAATTAATTACTTAAAAATCATACAATGTGATTTTCTGGATTTTTGTTTTAGATTCCGTCTCTCACAGTTGAAGTGTACCTATGATAAAAATTACAGACCTCTACATGCTTTGTAAGTAGGAAAACCTGCAAAATCGGCAGTGTATCAAATACTTGTTCTCCCCACTGTATATGTTGAGTTGAATGGTGAAGGAAGTTTGTTGATAATAATGTTCCTTAAGAGTCTATTGATGCACCCATGTGTCAATCTAATGAACATAATACAAAAATCCCTATCAGAAATCTGTCAGTTTAAGCTAGAGATATGTTTTTTTGCATGGACTGTGTCTCAATCCACTGCATCCGCCTATGTCGGCCTTCCGCATCTGCAGTGGAAAGTGTCAGACCAGGAGACATCCCCAAAATAGGTCTTCTCACAAAAACGTCTGTAGCGTCCGAACTGTTTGGGCTACAAACCCCACTATGGAAAGGGGAGACTCTCACGAACACAATGGTGTTCTCCATTTTGCACTACGTCACGGGACTCATCTGAAAGTAACCTGGTACCGGTAAAAAAAAATGAATGGAAGTATGGAAGTAGTTTAATGCCAACAAAAAAAGGGGTTAAATGTTTCCAAAAAATGTAAATATTTCCTGAGCTTTCATATATTTCCAAGATTTAGGACAAACACTTCAAAACATTATTCATTATGATACATTTTTTGACTGTCTGTTTTGCCATTTATGAATGTGTTATTCAATGCATTTCTATGGGCTAAAGGCCAAATTCAATATTTTATCCAAAAATATATGTTTTGGGGGGATTCCTACAGGGGTCGAATAGCTAAATGATCCTAAGTAGAGCGCACCTTTTTTAATGATGTAATTTCTCAATCAAATTTTGTACTGACGGATGTAGCCTATTGGATATCATTGTAGAATAAGCCTATCCTCCAATTGCAATGTTTTCCTATGCCCACACATATTGTCGGAAGATGAATGTATATTTTTAATACTCTCAAACACCAAGTTAGGCATACCTAAAAATAGGCCATCATCACCATCAATCGTGA